TACTCTTCTACAGCAGTCAGTTTGACAAAATCAACTGCTGTCACAATATGCAGGTCATTGATGTGACTTTACCAAATAGGTCAGTGATCGGCCCAATTCTCTGCTCGACTCAAGTTTCACAGCATAGCAAATTCCACAGAAAGTTGAAACAAGGTATCTACTGGCTAAAAGGCTAAACTAATCGCCGACAGATATCAAGAAATGAGCATGTTGGATTTTTTTGATCAAGCGACAATAACAGCTAGTTGACAATTTAAGAACACAGTTTTAGCTGAAAGGAACGAATTCTTGGTTCTACCACGGTCGGCTTGTAGAACCAACTTCTCTGCTTGGTCATAGGGTTAACCCTTTCACCACCAGTTCCCACTTTTCATCACAAAATCCCAAACTAGTTTCATTTATAGTCAGCATTTTCTTACGAAGATTGGAACAAAAATAACTATTTTTTTTAGTAAACACTGAAAATATACTCAAATGTGGTCTGGTAGCTCCAAAATTAGGGTTAATTTCCAGAAATATTGAAGAATATAAGAAACAAGCAGCCTCTTGGTTGAGATAGCTCCGCTGTTATTCATCAAAATTAGAGAGTTAGCGATATCATCATGAAATGAACAAATCAGAGGTCTACATGCAGTACCTAGATATGTAATATCAAAGCAATCGACTTGCGGTTTTTAACAAGAAATCAAAAATATCACTTTTTACCAAAAATGACAAAAATATTCACCAAAATTAGAGAATTGAAGATATCAGCACGAAATGAACAAATCTGAGAGAAGTCTACCCAAGGTACATTAACACCAAGTATCAAAGCATTCAGGCTTGTAGTTTTCAAGAAGAAGTTGAAAAAGTAAAACATTGACACGAACGACGGACAATCACTCATATGATAAGCTCCGCTCGACAAAGCCGACAGCGGAGCTAAAAAGTGCAGACAAATTTCAGTGCCAAATGGTGTATCGACCTGTCACGTCTTATATAGAAGCTAACTTTATTGGGTACTTTTCGCATATATCTATATAGAATCTAAGTTTCTTGGATACCTGGCCGAATACACCTTGCATTCAGCATAAAATCACAATACGACAAAA